ATACTAAAAAAATCTCAGGGTTTAAAACCACCTAGAACCTTTTGCGAAGCATAAAATGCTATTTAAAGCCCGATCCTGTAACTGGTCCAGGTCCTCAAGGAAGGGGGCCCCTAGAGTACTAAATCGCCGACGTGCAAGAGCTGGACAAAAACACAACAGATGAGATGCGCTCTCATCGTCCTCCCCACAGCTACGACAGATTTGGTTGAAAGGAAGACCTAGTCTTCTAGCATGGTTCCCTAGTTTACAGTGTCCTGTAGTCAACCCTACCAGAAGACCAATGTCCTTCCTTGAGTTTTCGATTTCCTTTTATCGGAAAGTGGCCAGATTGCATACAGATGTCTACATATCGTTGAGTCTTCCCATCTTTTATTAAAAGTATTTGTGCAGAAAGAACTCAATATCAGTTTACATGATGTTAGTGATATGCCCAGATAGTCTAGGTGCTCCGAGTATGGCTCTGAAGCACCCTTTCTGGCTAACTCGTCTGCTTTGCAATTTCCGAAAATATCCCTATGGCCGGGAACCCAGATTAGAGAAATATTGAGTTGCGTCGACATTTCGTTTAGAGATGTGTAGCAGTCAAGAACCGTCCTAGATGTAAATTGGACCGAACTCAAGGACTTTAATGCAGCTTGACTGTCTGATAGTATGTATATATTCCTGCCAAATATATCATCTACATTCAAACAAGCTATAGCTTCCCTGATGGCGACCACTTCCGCCTGAAAGACACTACAATGATCTGGAAGCCTAAAGAAGGAAGATTTGTTCAATTCCTCTGAGAAAACTCCACTACCTACACCACTACTTGTTTTGGATCCGTCAGTGAAGATGGTTACGCCCTCATCTAAGAAGGGACCACCTGACGTCCATACCTCTCTAGATGGAAACACGACATCAAATTTTCTGTCAAAGTTGAGAGTGGGTGTGATGTAATCAACGTTTTTGGGAGTAAAATTGAAAAGATTTAGAATGGAGGCATGACCATAGTCACTGTCTCTCCATTGTGAGGTAGCTTTTAGTCTTAAAGCAGATGAAGCTGCCATTTGTTTACTAATAATATCCATTGGCAGTAACTGAAGCATCAAATCTAGTGCAATGGATGGTGTGGTGCATAGCGCCCCGCTAATACAGAGTTCAGCTCTACGCTGAATCCTGTTAATTACTGAGCAGTACGAAGATTTATCAAGAGCTGTCCACCATACCGAAATACCATACATCAATATGGGCCTAATAACAGCTATATATAGCCATTGGGTGATACGAGGTTGAAGACCCCACTTCTTACCAATAGCTTTCTGACATAGAAGAAGCGCAACATTGGCTTTTCTTGCACGCTCTAGAGTGTTTTTCTTCCAAGTGAGTTTCCTGTCGAAAACTATACCTAAAAATTTGGCTTCCTCCTTCACATGTATCACAGAACCCCGTAGAGAGGGTGGAGAGAGATTCGGGACCGTATGTTTTCTTGTGAAAACTACGATTTCAGTTTTATTGGGATTCACCCCAAGGCCACATTTTTGTGTCCAATTGTTTAGGATATTAAGACCATTTTGTAGAATATCCCTAAGAGTGGTAGTATATTTTCCGGTGACTGTTATCGCAATATCATCCGCATATGCAATAGTTTCGCATCCCTCCGCCTTCAGTTGTATTAGCAGTTCATTCACCACTATGTTCCAAAGGAGAGGGAAGAGTACTCCTCCTTGGGGGGTACCTCTATTTACCCTTCTGCGTGCCGTTGATGAGCCCATCGTTGCTTCAATGAGTCTGCCAGTTAGCAGCTGATTTATAAAGCCAATGAGCGCATCAGCAACACCCAGACGCGAGATCGCGCTTACTATTGCACTCGGGAGTATATTGTTAAAGGCCCCTTCAATATCTACAAAAGCAACCATACAAAATTCTTTGAGTTTTATGGATTTTTCTATTCTGTAAGTGAGGGAGTGGAGAGCTGTCTCTGTAGATTTTCCCTTAGTGTAGGCATGCTGTGAGGGGGACCACTGGTTGGGGCTTACAGCACGCCTTACTTCTACGTCTATTATTCTTTCAAGAGCCTTCAACATGAAAGAGGAGAGGCTTATAGGACGGAGTTCATTGGGGTTATGGTGCGAGGTTTTTATTGCTTTGGGTATAAAAACTACTCTAACCTCCCTCCATTTAATCGGGACATAGTTAAATAAGAAACAATGTCTAAAAATTGCCAAAAGCCGGTTGTGTATTAACTCCCACGAATTCTGGAGCTCAATTGGATGAATACCATCCGGTCCTGGTGATTTGTAGGGTTTAAAACTAAAAATAGCCCATTTGACGATCTGCAGGTTAACCTTAATAGAGTTAACCGGTGAGAGATTAAGGCACTCTGAGGATCCAGCTACCGAAGTAGAAGATCCCGGAAAGTGAGTATCTAGTAGTAATTGTAAAGATTCGCTACTATTATTGCACCATGTCCCGTCAGATTTTTTGAGTAACTCTGGGACAGATGGATTTTTGGATAAGATTTTACGCAGTCTAGAGGTTTCAGAATTGCTATTTATTTCTTGACAGTACGATTGCCAAGTGTCTCTCTTGGACCTACGTACATTTTTCTTATATTCTTGCAGAGAGGTTTTGTAATTCAGCCAATCACTCTCATTACTATATATAGTTTTGCTTTGTTGAAGAGTCTCCTACACTCCTTTCGTAAAAGACCTAGATGCTTATTCCACCAAGGTGGGTTACATTTCCTACTAGGTTGTGTGAGGGGACAAGCATAACTGAACGCTTCGTTGAGCACTGAGGTGAGATCTTGGACTTGATTGTCTAGATCAAAAGTGTTCCCAGGGGGATCGGAGGAAGTGGTTAAAAGCAGCTCACTTAGAGCTGCATTATAATTCGTCCAGTTTGTGTTTTTAACATTTCTGAACGTTTTTTGATTGCAGATGTTCGATTCATCTAAGGTTAAGGTGAATTCTAGAATCATATGGTCTGAGAACGAGTGTTGAGTGGACACTTTCCAGTTCTTGACCGATTCGTGAAGCCTAGCAGTAGCAAGAGTGACATCTAACACTTCCTGCCTGTTTTTTGTAATAAAAGTTGGCATATTGCCATCATTGCAGATGAACAGATTGTTACTAAATACAAAATCAAAAAGTAACTCACCTCTTTCATTAGTATTTGAGCTGCCCCAAACCTCATGATGAGCGTTGGCATCGCAACCTATTAGAAGCTCTACCCCGAGTCTCCTGGCGCTGCTTGTTAGCTGTATCAGGTCATTCGATGGTAGTGTGGCATGGTCATGTGCCAGATAAGCAGATACTGCCCATATTTGCCCCCGGAGCCCTCCACTCCTCACCATCACTATATTGCGAAAGTAAGAGAGCATTAAATTTTTTATTAACCACTATGCAGGACCTATGTTTACCCTTATTTACCGCATAAAATAGGTTGTAGTTATTAGCCCTGATTCCGCATACAAGATCCTTATAAATCCATGGTTCTTGTATCAGGACCATATCAGCCTCGTTGTTGCTGAGGCGTTGCAGTAGACTGGCGGATGCAGCCTTGCTATGATGCAGGTTAATTTGCTGTACCCGCATCTTCAGTATGTGTGGATCCATTTTTTTCCACCACAGTGACATCAAGAGCACTATCCTCCTCAGAGTCATTACTCATTAGGAGTTCCTCTTCATCGAAAAGATAGCGCATGCCTATGCTCTCCTCTGATGTAATTGAGTGAGCTGGCGAAGGAGCAGACACTGAAATGTCCATGCACACAGGTGAGTCTTCAGATGGAATAACCGGACTCACTTCGGTCATGGAAGCAGGCTTAATATTGCCCACTTCGATAAGGGATCAGCAGTGTGTTGAGAAATTGCCGCTGATTCCCGTACATCAGACGAGGATTGCTCCTCATCTTTTTTGTAGACCCTCATAGTTATGGGGAAAAAACCGTAATTTAATACGCCACCAGATCGCGCCAAAATGGCCAGAGAGGCTTTGTCGATCACAAAACTGACCGACCTAAACTTGCCTTTGGCTTCTTTCAGCTTAGTGACCTTCCACGTGGACGTATTTAGATCAGGGTTTCCCACCCGAATTAGCTCCAGAATCCGCTGAGGGTCGGATGGTTCGGCTGGAATCCAGGAACGCGCCCTAGGTCGGCCAGGAATTTGTTCCTTGGCAACGACTTTAAGCTTTGCGCCTGGCCAGACCTCACCCATTCTGGAGATGGCAATGCGAAAGAGATCAACAGAACGCTGATCAACGCAGGCGACTAGTTTCACATGGCCCTGAAACCATCCACCGTCGCGACATTTGGGAATTGTACCTGGAAATTCCTTAAGAACTTCGACGAACAAGTCAAGGAGCTTTCGCTCAATTTGATCCCATTTTTCAGGATTAATAGTGCCATCTGGATCATTTTCATCAATGACCGCCATTATGATGGAGCCCTTCAGCGTGTCGCTAAAGGACTTAGTGGTGGTGGCGTTGCCACGCAATTTTGCCTTTTTGGCATCTGGCTTCGAAGCTGACTCATCTAATGAGCGCTGGCGCTTCGGTACAGGTTCCTTTTTGACTTCCTTAGAAGTATCAAGGACCCGTTTGGCCCAGGCTAATCTAGCCTTAAGAGACTCGGACGTAACCGAGACATTGCCATATCTCTCGAGCAGCCTAGTCGCCCCTCGCCGTTCTTTATAAATTCTCCTGGATGGAGAGCCCGACCATGCGGAGGGGCCAGAACGCGTGGAGATTTCTGGTTTGTTAGGAGGTACCCTGTTATTACCGCTAGAAGTTGCGGTAGGTACCTTGGAACTAGTCGTTCCAGAAGAGCTTGGTTTAACCGAGCTTGATTTTTTTAAATTTTTATTATTTTGGTTCATATTTTAAACCCACGAGTTGCGGAGAAAGGAAAGTCGATCCGGGCAGAGATCCGCTATACCCGGACAAGGCTAAGTTACAACCGGAGGGCGCCAGATATCCGGAGGTCTCCGTTTAGAGACACACTAACGTAGTGCCATTCATCTCATCGGCACGGGTCGAATAACACCGGAGATTACGGGTTTTATCGAGTTTTCCTCTCTAGATCCATAGTGTTCTGTTGAGTCAATGAAGTTATCAACTACAAACAGGTTCACCTCGAGAAGGGTGTGATAAAGTACCACGCACCATGGTCTTGGTAAGGCATAGGCTGATGTTTTGCGCATGACCATACCCTGTT